CCAGCATTTGCTGGCTGGGGAATTCTGGGAGTTGAAGTCCAGACATCTTCAAGTTGACAAGGTTGAAAAACACTGAGTTAGAGTGCAGTACTGCAGGAAACTTCTGCTGGTTGCCTGCAATTTGGCAGTTCAAATCTCACCAGGTTCAAGGATGACTCAGCCTTTCATCCTTCTGAGGTAGGTAAAATGAAGACCCAAATTGTTGGGGGCAATATGCTGATTCTGTAAACCGCTTAGAGAGGGCTGTAAAGCACTGTAAAGCAGTATATAAGTCTAAGTGCTAGTTCTAGTGCTAGTCTAAATATATATGGATATATAGCTGACATAATTGAATGAAGAGCATTTGTGTTACCCAACTATGGGATTCTCGCAAGTGTGGTAAAAAAAAGTTATATAAGAGAAAGGACACCTGCCATGACACCTTTCCTGACAAAGTGCAATGTTATGAACTGCCCCCCCCCCTGAAGTGATCACATCCATTCCTGTTTTCTGCATCATGCCAATTTTTTCCACCTTTGATTTTGCTAAATTAAATCAGCAGCTACAATTTCCAGGGGCCTGACAACAAATGCCATCTTCAATAATGCATATCTCAATTCAAAAAACTTTCCCTTGGATGTAGAGATCACATGCTTATTGTCCCTCGTTGATCTTAGAAATAAAATGATGTTCCAGTAGTTTGAGCAAAGGGCCAGCAGCCACAAGGAGCCAAGTCTCAAGCCAGTGGGCATCATATTCTTCTCATCTCACCTTTGTCCTTGCTCAGATATGACACAACATAGTTTCAAAGGTTATTTTACAGTCCCTTTGCTTTGATCACAAATTTGCACTGGAGGGGTTCAGGCATTGTGTTCCACTTGTAACTGTGTTTTCTCACTTCTATTTTTCTTCCACCCGAAATCACCCTACTGTGTCTTGATTGTAAAAATCTGGATAGGCAAGAGATAGCAACCCCCCCCCCCAAAACCCATATTTTTCCTGCCACCTAGCAGTCCTCAGGGTTTGTGCAGAATGATTATGCTATGCCTAGTGAATCTCATTAAAGAGAAAACAATCGAGTAGCTGGAGGTAGCTAGCTTTGCACAACACAATTAGCTTAAAACGTAATTTGCTGCTTATGGTTTGCTGTTCTGCAAACCTAGCGAAAATGATTACTTGATTTGGTGTGTTGTAAGCTTGGTCCGGTTACTAAATAGCTAGGATTCAATACAAGTACTGTTAAGCAATGATTTTTAGTTGGCAGGAGACATCTGTCAGAAAGTACACTTGTTTCTTTCTTCCATTTCCTATTCATCATCAATATGTTTTTTTGATTTTTAATGAAAGCAGTTTAAAGGGCCAAGTTTCAATTTAGTGGCTTTAAAAAGTTGTTGCATGAATTAGCAAAAGCACAGAGTCCTCTCCAAATCTATGTAGCCATTATACATGCAGCCAGATATATAATTGAGCACCCTTTAAAAGTTTGAGAGTGCTTGCAAAATGCAGTGGTTCAGAATCATAGCATATTGTTCTGAGATAAGTATTCATAAATCAGCTCATGAAACAGCTCCACACCAGTTATCAATCATTCGTCTCTATCCATGTACCACTAAAACTCTAGTATCTGTAATCTTTAACTGGGCAAAACAGTGTATCACAGGGCAACAATTTTTGAAACAAGGGATCTCAAATGGGCTAACTTACAGAAAGTGTCCAAAATCCAGGACCCAGGACTCCCATGGAATTGAATCATGGCAAATTTGTGGTTGCTACAATACTATCACTGGCTTGACCCACTCTAGCCTACTATAGACTGAATAGACTGGTTCTACCCATTGGCTGCTGGAGGGCGGTCAGCTGTGGTCAAGATGGCAAGGGGTGGCTCCTGTTCTTACTACTTTATTGTCCTTGGTCATTCTGTTTAAGTAAAGAAATATCTCTGAATTCAGGGTCATGGGTTGTCTAGTGCAGGAGTGAAATCCAGCAGGTTCTGACAGGTTCTGGAGAACTGGTAGCGGACATTTTGAGAAGTTCAGAGACCCAGCAAATGCCACCTCTGGCTGGCCCCCGAGTGGGGTGGGAATGGAGATTTTGCAGTATCCTTCCCCTGCCACGCCCACCACACCATGCCCAACAAGCCACATCCAGAGAACCAGTAGTAAAAAAGTTTGAATTTCACCACTAGACTCTAGTGCAGCGGTTCTCAACCCGTGGGTCACAACACCTTTGGGGGGGGGGTCAAATGACCTTTTCACAGAGGTGCTGAAGAGCTTCCCGCGGAGAGGCTGACGAAAAGCCAGCCGAAGGGAAGGAGCGACTCGGGTTCCCCGCGCGGCGGAAGGAGATGTGCCAGAAGACTGTCGGGGTTCCCAGCAGGGCAGTCCGGCCGGCCTCCCTTGCGGGTGTTTTTCAGCGACTGTTCCTGCCCGGGAGCTCCTACAGGGCACACGCCTTCGCCAATGTTGAGCTGCATCAAAGGGAGAGGCTTAGGCAGCGAGAAGGGCAACAGTTGATGAGAGGCTGTGGCGGCCGCCAAGCCTCCATCTGACATCACTTCCCTCCCCCTCCCACCGGCACAGGCCTGGCTCCGCTGAGCCGTTTCTGCTTAGTTTCGCCGGGATCCGAGGAGGAGACTGTTAGCTGGAAACCAAACAGAGAAGAAGGGAAGGGAGACCAGACTGGGGATGCGAGAGGGGGAGGTTACTGGTTGGAAGTCTGCGCGGTGGGATCACTGCGCACATGGCCGGAGGAGGAAAGAACAAAACCTTGCGCCAGTAGGGGAGGGGCTTCTGCTGCTCCTCTCGCCGAAGGCAGCAGAATGCAGGAGAGCTGCGCTGCGCAGGAGACTCCTCAGCGCCAGACTCAGGTCAGCGCAAGCCGTGGTCTCATTCGTGTTGGCTCAGGAAGGAGGGGAATGGGAAGCAGCAGCAGCAGCTGTTTGAGTGCAGGGAGGGAAGAGCTCCAGTTCTCCTGCACCGCACAGGGCTCTCTTTGCACAGGGCTCTCCTTGCACAGAGCTCTGGAACTCTTCCCTCTCTGCATCCAGAGACGGCTGCTCTAGCTCTTTCCTGAGCCAACACAAAGAGAACCGCGGCTGGCACTGACCTGAGTGGTGCTGAGGAGTCTCCTGCGCAGCGTGGCTCTCCTGTGCAGTGCAGTGCAGTGCAGCCAGCTACACACTTCTTAGTGGTGGCAGCAGAAGAAGACGCTGTCACCGCTGCCGTGATCCCGGCCCAGGAGGGTATTTTGCTTGCATGCGCAAGAAAGATGAAAGAGAAAAGGAGGGGGCGAGAGAGAGAGGAAAGAGAGCTGGAAGGAGAGAATGGGAGAGAGGGAAAATAGAGGGAAACAAATTAGAGGGGGAAGGGGAGAGGGAGAAAGAAATGAAAGAGAGCCGAAGGGAGAGAATGAGAGAGAGGGAAACAAATCAGGGGAAAAGAAAGGAAGAGAAAAGAAATAAAGAAGGAAGAAAAGAAGGAAAGAAAGAAAGAAAGAAAGCTAACTTTCTCAGACCTATGATGAAAGCAATGGCAAGATCTCTTGCCAAGAAAACTGCAGTTTGCCAGAAGGCACAAATTGGAATCAAGTCTGATTTTTTAAAAAGAAA